ATTGCTCCTTAAAAACCCCTCTCTCTGAAAATGACATGCCCTCGCAATGTAACTCCGAACTCATACGCGGAGCCCTTGGCTGCGCCCGGCGGAGGAGAGCGCTATAGCCGGAGCGCAGGCATGTATATGCAATCGGGGAGTGACTTCAACTGCGGGGTAATGAGGGGCTGCGGGCTCGCGCCCTCGCTCTCTAAGAGGGACGAGGGCGGCAGCCCCAACCTCGCCCTCAACACCTACCCGTCCTACCTCTCGCAGCTGGACTCCTGGGGCGACCCCAAAGCCGCCTACCGCCTGGAACAACCTGTTGGCAGGCCGCTGTCCTCCTGCTCCTACCCACCTAGTGTCAAGGAGGAGAATGTCTGCTGCATGTACAGCGCTGAGAAGCGGGCGAAAAGTGGCCCCGAGGCAGCGCTCTACTCCCACCCCCTGCCGGAGTCCTGCCTCGGGGAGCACGAGGTGCCCGTGCCCAGCTACTACCGCGCCAGCCCGAGCTACTCGGCGCTGGACAAGACGCCCCACTGTGCTGGGGCCAACGACTTCGAAGCCCCTTTTGAGCAGCGGGCCAATCTCAACCCGCGCGCCGAACATCTGGAATCGCCTCAGCTTGGGGGCAAAGTGAGTTTCCCTGAGACACCTAAGTCCGACAGCCAGACACCCAGCCCCAACGAGATCAAGACGGAGCAGAGCCTGGCCGGCCCAAAAGGCAGCCCCTCAGAGAGCGAAAAGGACCGGGCCAAGACCGTCGACTCCAGCCCAGACACCTCAGATAATGAAACGAAAGGTAAGGCCGCCTGGGCCGCGGCCCGGCTGCGACTGTGGGGCACTGGGTCTTCTTGGCCCGGCTGGGAGCAGGCGAGAGGGTTGGGCTGAGGCCTCTGGACGTGATGTCTGGGGAATGCGACCCGGCTTGCGGCTTGTGTCTGCTGAGCGCCAAGCTGGTGGCGCATCATTTAGCTGGGGAAGGTAAGCGGCGATGTGGAGGTACGGCCAGCCCGGGCCCTGGGTGCTAAGGCAGGCGGGGGTGCTGTGCGTAGACAGGCAGCCTGTGGGCTCCCTGTGCTGCCCAGGACCGGAGACCGCTCCCAGGCCCTGTGCTGGCTTGGGTTTGCCTTCCCAACCCTGATGTACTGGGGGGCTGATGTCCCCCACTCAGGTCAAAGGCTCACAAAAAGCTTAAAATGGCGATCTTGTGCTAGGGACGAAGGAAGGCTTGAGAGATGAAGAATTTCTCTTTCCAGCATTTTCCCAGTTGGAAATTGTTTCCTGAGAAACAGGATTTGTTGTTTGTGGGTCTGATTTCTGTGTGCGCTTTAGGCTTCTTCGGATTTTTCCTCGGCCAGGGGCCTTGGGCAGCAGCATTAAGGCCGGAAGAAGTGGAGGTGAAGGACTGCCCTCCACGTCCCTCCCTCTCCTCCAGATGCCTGGCCTGAGGATGGTGTTGGAACAGGGCATTTGGAATGGAATGTTGAAGTTTTTTGTCTCCTCTCTTTTTTTTATTCTTTTCTTTTTTCTAGTTATATTACATTTTTTTTCCCCATTGGTTTCCAAGAGCAGCCTACAAATGACTGGTTGGGAAATTTCTCTGTGTGGCAAATGGTTTTCTCCTGAAAGGAGTGTGACTTTGGTTGGGTTTCATTGTGATTTTGGTTACAGGGAGAAAGCCTAGGCAGAGTTCAAGCTCAGGGTTCAAGATTCATTTCTGCATTAGGAACTGGGGGCTTTCTGGATCTTTCTCTAACACCTGGAAAAGAATGTGGAGGGGACAGGAACAAGGGAGGGACCCTGAAGGGAGCCACTTTCCCTGAAAAGTTGGACTAAAAAACATCCGAAAGGCCCAACAGGGAGGAATAAAACCTCTCCCCTTGACAGTGCCTCCTGGGAGCAGTACATAAGAGATGCTCATTGGGTGTAGAGGTAGGTGAAATATTGAGAATGGAGTAGGCTGGGGTTGGTCTGGATCTCCTGCTGCTTTGTATATGGATGCGACGCACATGCATGCCTGACAGCGACCTGTGTCACACTCACACATGTCCCTCTTGCACATTCCTCACACACAAACACGCCTGCTCATATATGCACATGTACTCTTTTGGTGGGCAATGACAGAGGCTTGGGTCTGCCCTGCAAAGGTTGCCTTGACAAATCGGCCCACAGGGACCCTGGTTGGAAGATGACCATCATGTGTTTGTGTGGCTGAGAGAGTGAGGCACACACAAGCAAGAAGCCTCCGCTGTGGCACACTTGCAGTGTAAAGGCTTAATTTTATACCCTCACTGCAGACCCTGAGTTTCACTGGGGATACTGATTTAGGGTAGAAAAGGCTGTGTTCTAGCCCCACCAAAAGCAAAGTCAAGGTTAACAAGTCTACCTCCTAACTGCACCCACTGGGATAAGTTCCTCTTTCTCTCCTGCTGTCCATGCCACAACCTAAGCCTTCCCATCCATCTAATCCCCTCAGTCTGTGCTTCTCCTATGCTTTTCTACCCCCAGCCCCTTGGGTGTCTCCACCAGGCCAGAGACAGGACAGCTTTTGGCTAAACTTCTCTATTTGTAATTTTTCTCTCCCCTCCCCAAACCCAACAGCCCCAATAAGAAAATAAACAGAACAGAGTTAGTTATGGAGAGCCTGTAAACAATTTGGCAACAAGCTGCAGGTGCAAAAGCAGAGTAATTAAAGATCCTAAGGTTTTTATCCTGCAGCTTCAAGTTTGCATTTTTCTGGTATTTCCTGGTTGTCCTAGGGCTCCCTGCCCCATACCCAGTCAAGATAAGATCCTGGATCCTGGCCTCTTCATTGGGCAAGAGGAGAAGTAAATGCACAGAGCTATCAGCAGAGTTGTTTGCTGAGTGCTCCCTCTCAAGTCTTTAGATATCATGTTTCTCCCTTTAAAAAGATGGCCAAGTTCTCTCCTGCTGCTTGAAGAAAAAGCTTGTCTGTTTCAGAAAGAATGTGTACCAAGGAAAGAAGCTGTCAATAAGATAATGGGAAATAAACAGTATACTATAGTGTCTCCTCATATAAGTAGACACATGTACATATTCCTGTATGTATATGTGTAAGTGTATGTAACTCTACAGGTATACATGTGTTGCTTACAGACATGCACATCTACTGTGCACAGACTGGGTAGCTTTTCTAGCAGGCTCCAACACCTCAGGATATCTCTCTACCTTGACCTTAGGTCCTCTGGCCAGGGAAGTTGTCTGAAGACCCTTTAGCATGCCCCAAAGCTATTGCCCCTGACCTCCACTGCTAGAATAACCTTTCTTGCCTCAGCTATACACACCTGGGGGTAAGGGCCAAGAAAGGAAGAGGTTACAGTGGGGAGGTTTAATGGGGCAATCTCACTCTACTTGCAACTCACATGGGAGTAAGACCTGGGGGCCTGGTGCAAGGACAGCATCAATGGCCTCTGGCTTCAGAAACCAAGACAAGTCCCTCGACCAAGTTGAAAATGGTCAAAGCTCTGGAAATTGACCCTGGGCTGCAGGGTAAACTCTGTACTCATGTCTGGGGCCTGGAAAAGTGCTTTTTCTGTCTGGTTCAATTTTTCTAGATTTGGAGCACAACCGAGCTGAGGGAGGGCCAAGAGAGGTTTAGGACACCCACCAGAGCCAGAAAGCTGGGAGAAAGTGAGAATATTTAGGATCTGCTAGGTTAGGATAGACTGGGGTAATTAAAATTTAATAAACACTTTGAAGGCAAGACCCTTCTCCCTTTACTCCCCACCCCAAATTCTAGACCACCCAAAGAGATTTTAAGAACCCTGAACCCAAGAGGACCCCACTGCCAGGACCGTGGGGCAAGAGCAGTTCCCCTGTCCTCCCTCAGATGCCCCACAGCAGGCTGGCCAAGGCCGCAGTGCTGCAGTGAGGGTTTGAGTCTTCAAGGGATACTTATGTAAATAATGTTATTTTTAACAGAGGAGATAAAGGCAGAAAACACCACAGGAAATTGGCTGACAGCAAAGAGCGGAAGGAAGAAGAGGTGTCCCTATACTAAACACCAGACGCTGGAATTGGAGAAAGAATTTCTGTTCAATATGTATTTGACGCGAGAGCGCCGCCTGGAGATTAGCAAGACCATTAACCTTACAGACAGACAAGTCAAAATCTGGTTTCAGAATCGCAGAATGAAACTCAAGAAAATGAACCGAGAGAATCGGATCCGGGAACTGACCTCCAATTTTAATTTCACCTGAGCGCGCGCGGCTTCCCCTCCCCCTCCCCCTCTTTCCTTTCCCCACCCCTCCATTCCCCGCCCCTCCTCCCTTTGTGCCTGGTGATATTTTTTTTTCCCCTCCCTGAGTATAAATGCAACGCGCCTGCAAAAAAGGCAAAGACCTCAGACTCTCCTTCCAAGGGACCTATGGTTCGTGCTGCAAGGATGCTTCCATCTAAAGCATGAGAAACAGGGTGGTGGGCCGTGGGGTGTGGTGTGTGCCCTCATAGATGGGGGTGGGAGTGTGGCTGTTGTGTGTGTCAACCCCTCACTTACCCACGCACTCACACATAGCATTCTGTTCTTCATGCAAAGTTGAGATCGAATCCACCCGATTGTAGAGAAAAAAGAAAAAAATCAACCAGAGAGGGTCTGTAATCTCGCACAGCACAGTCAGAATCGCTCCTTCCTTGCTGCATTTCCTCCTTAGAATAATAGACGTTTTGGAAAGTTCAGCTAGTATTTGTGTGTTTGTGGTAGCACCCAGTGTCTCCACCAGACCCTTTTCCGTGTCTTTACCTTCCAGTCGCTCTGAGAATCTGCTTGAAGTCTTGTATTTGTACCGCTTTCTGCTTTTCTCCCACCCCTCCCAGCACCCTCACATCCCCTATCCACTAACAGCTCAGAAATTCCATTCAGAGGGACAAAAAAAATATATTAAAAATAGAACATAGCAGAGCAAAGACAGAACAACACCCCAAAATTGCCCTGTCCCTGTCTGGGAGTTGTGTTATTTAAAGATATTCTGTATGTTGTACCTTTTGCATGTGGCTTCCTTAATGGAGAAAAAAATCCTAATAAATTTCCAGAATCCTAATCCTCAAATGGGTGGTTTTTTTTGTTTCTAGTGGTTTTTAGCGACATCCCCCTCCCCCAAAGAAGCTGAGTGTGTGAATGTGTGTGTGTTTTGTGTTTGACTCATCTCCTAGAGCCTTTCTAGAACGTCTCTTGGCGGGTTTAATGTAAGTGAGAGACCATAACGTTGATTTAAATATTATCCAGGTGACCACAATAAGTCAAGGTCATAAAACAGTAATGTCAGGATGGTCTTGGTGCGCGCGAGAGGTGGATTTTATGATCTGCAAATATAATGTGGTGCTGCAGTAAAAGATGCATTTAAAGGTGACTGGAGGAGGGAAAGAGGCAGAGAGCAAACTGCAATCTTGAGGAGCAGACGGATCTGATTGCCTGGGGTGCTGGGCTGGGCGCACCCCACCGCTGCTGGGGGGCACCCCAAGAGCCCCCCACCCATCCAAAGAGAGGAATAAACTTAACCGCCGCCGGAGGGGTACGATGAGCTCACCGTCCCCCTACGTCCACAGCAGCTAGCAGAAGCTCCGGCAGCAGCGGGAGGAGGAGGAAGCGACAAGGTAAGAGAAGCGGTTTCTTCTTCTCTTGGTGGCAGAGTGCGGACTAGCTGCATCCCCAGGTGCCCGGCGGCGTGCAGCGGGCAGAGCTGGGAAGGTGTTTCAGGCATTGGTACTTGCTCAGAGCCCAGGCTTGCCTTGTGGCCGCTGGCAGCCAAGGACAGTGGCTATGAGCTCCCTCTCTTCCTCTCCCCGGCCCACTGCTGTGGGGTTCGGTGGTTAAAGGGGCAAATTGGTGGTTTTGGCTTCTTTATCTTTGTGGGCACTTAGGGTCGCCTCGAGGTCGACACACCAGTCTAGGTGTCTGTCTCTCAGTCTAGTTGTCTGTTGGGGGGGGTGGGTAGTGAGGGTTGGAGCTTGAAGCTTAGATTTTTCTGCTTTTTCCTGGTATGGGTATGAGCCTTATCCAGGCTCTTGGTCCTTATGCTCCCTGGTTGTGAGGCTTTGCCAGGCAAGTGCCCTGACTGGAAGTGGCTCCAGAGCACAGGCGCTGTGGTTCAGGAAACCTAAAGGGAGCTAAGGGAGAGAAAGGATCAGAGAGAGGAGGAGAGTGCAAGAGAGCCAGATGGACAAAACAGGGGACCCAGCTCAAGAGTGGAAGGACAATCCAGCTTCCCCCCAGGGCCAGGGCCAGATGCAGGGAAATAGCTCCACTGCGGGGCTGGGGGTGGGGCAGGGACTTAGCAGCTAGCGGTCCCATTTCACCAGGTTTTCCCTGAGCAATTTGCTTAGGTCTAAAACTGATGAAGACAGATCCCCCTCAGCTACCCAGCCACCCAAAGTCTACTCTCTAGCCCTTAGGGAGGTTGTGGGGGCGGAAAGGGGGCCGGGGCTGAATTTCTTCCTTCCCCAACCCCCTTCCCTTCTCCTCTGGATAGGTGCAAAGCTGAATCTCCCGCCCTGCTCTCTCAGCTGATCTGTGGCTTAGGTAGTTTCATGTTGTTGGGATTGAGTTTTGAACTCGGCAACAAGAAACTGCCTGAGTTACATCAGTCGGTTTTCGTCGAGGGCCCTAACCCATCTCTCCTCCTTCTTCCTTCCCCAGTGGGACCACCCAGATGGGACAATGTGGGTGCAGACCTAGGAAGGCAAGCTCTGAGTGGGGCCACAGGAGAAGTCTGGAGAACCCTACTCTACACTGTCCCTTCCTCAGCTCCTCCCAATCCCTGTGACTAAGGAGAGGAGCTTTCCCTGCAGCTATTGTCTCCTGGGCCCAGCTGATGGAGACAGACAAAGAAGGTCCAGCCAATTCCAAGGAAATTCCAGAGTTTGAGTTTGGCCTGGTGGTCCAGCTCAATTGGGTGGCAGGGTGGGGCAGAATCATTAGAGGAGAGAGTGGCACAGAAGGAGGAGGTCTCTGGAATGGTTAGCTTCTCTCACCTGCCACTTTCAAGACTAAGCCTTTACTTGGCTAGACTGGAGCTACTACTTAGAAAAGTGGGGCACCTGGAGGTTCCAAGAGTTAGGGAACTCTGAGTGACAGCCCAGCCACCTCCTCTTCCCTTTCTAGAGCTCCATCTCCAGGAGAAGGACATATTTGGGGTGTTAGTAGATTAGAGGAGAGCCATCAAGTCCAAGTAGAAACCCTCACAAGCAGATCTTACTGGGAAACAGGACAAAAACCTGGCTCTGGTCTGTCTGGCTCTGTTGCCCATAGGCCTTGGTCTGTGTGTCTGAGTCTATGGCTGTCCGGGCAGTTGCCTGTCTTTATGCTCTGTGAAAGTATCTGGATGAACAGAGGCTGCCAGCGCCCACTGTTACCATGTTGTGTGTGTGTGTGGGGGGGAGACTGTTGGCTAATGCCAGAGGGAGGAGAAGGGGAGGAGAATGGATTAGGGGGAAATCTGAGCAATGAGAAACTTTGCAACATATCCTGCACTCCTTTCTCCTTTTGGTTCCTCAGCTCTGTCCCTGGTTGCTAGAGAAAAGGGTCTCAAAATAGGTTTCTTTGCCTTTGGAGAAAAAAGGGGGAGGGGTCAGGGAGAATGGAGAGGTAACAACCATGTTCTCACAGATACTGGAAAAGAGAAGCCAAAAGAAAGAGATTAGGTCCTTGGTTCTCTTACTTTGAAATAATCATGAGTATCAAAAGAAACTTTAAAACAGGAACACAATCATGTCCCTGTTATCCTCACAGTCATTTGCTAGGAGGGACATGGGTGACCTTGCATAAGTGTAGGTCTCTGTTTCTACCTCTCTGTCTCCTCTAGGACCTCTCAAGTCCCCTGTATGTATTTATATACATACTCATTCCCCTTGCCTCATATAAATATTTTTGACCCCTAAGGAACCTGAAGGAGAAAATGGAAATAGAGCCTTTCATCTCTCCAGCTGAATTGTCCATTTGTTTGACCTCTATCCTTTCGTTGGAGAAGGAAAAAAATAATTTCTTCCCTTGAAGGGAAGTACTCAAATCTCTATGGCTCCCAGGGAAACGGGGGAAGTTTCCAGAGAGGCAGGCCAGCTGGTGAGGGGCTCCTCTGGTTTGGAGCCTCCAAGTCTTCAGGCTGCACCCCCACCCTGAAAGCACAGAGCCATTTGGGGTGAAAGGAGAACCAGTCAGGAACAGGATGCCCAGGAGCACTTGACTTGGAGGCAGTGTCCCCCGATGGGCCGAAATCCACCAAAGAACAACTTACTGTTTAGGTCCCTTTGCCCCTATTTCCATCTCAAAGATAGTGTTTTTCTAGAGGAGGCCACAGAGCCAGGGTGTTGAGGTGTCCTCCTCCTCCCTAGATCCCTAGAAATAGAGTAAGGTCTCTTAGGGCCAAGGTGAGGGCCAGTCTGGTGGTCGGAGTCCACCCTGGGGGCCTTGAGGCCGTGGATCATGGGTAAGGCGGTGGTAATTATTTATTCGCTTCGCTGGAAGGGTGTCTTCAGAAAGAACAGCATGAAGAGGAGGGAAAAAAATTCTCTCTCGTCTGCAGATATTAAGATGGATTTTTATTTCTTAAAGGACCCTCCCCGCCGAGAGCGCATAAGCGTAAACTTAATATATGCTCTGCAGCCCAACTCCAGAAATCGCAATAAAAGTTAAAACCTCCCCTACTGGTTTTTTTTAATTATGATATGGGAAAGAGGAGCAGGATTTATAGAGCTGAACTCTCGGCGTTTGAGTATTTGAGACTTGCAGGAGAAGGAGGAAAAGGCTAGAGCTCGCCAAGGAGAGGCTTGGTCTCTCAAATATCTCAGCGGCTGCAGGGCCTCCAGTTTAGCCCGGCTGATCTGCTCCCTGGGACCTCGCTCCGGCCATCAGCCTTGGCTCGGCTCTCTTGGAGATACAGCCCTTCTCCGGAACAGGTGAAGGGGAAGGCAACAACCGGCGTCTGGAGGCTATGGGTAGGAAGGCCGGCGCACTGGGCTTTGTGTGGGTCCCAAGCAGGGGACGAGGTTGGAAGTCCCAGCAGGAATGCAGCCCAAGTGTAGCCCGAGAGTGGCTTCACCAGGAGGGGGTCCGGGCTGGGCGCGAGAGCACCCACAAGGTGGATTTTGTGTGGACTTTGGCCGGAGACGGAGCAGAGGGCTCCAGGGTTGTGTTCAGCGCAGAGGCGGGCAACCGGATGTTGAGTCTGTAGGAAGGACCTTGAGGTCTGTTGGGTGTTTGGGCTGCCGGGGGCGGCGGCCCAGCGTGTGGAGCGTGCAGCGCGCGGGGCGCGGCGTTCGGCGTGGGTGAGGTAGCAGGCCCTGAACACCTCTGCGGCTGCAGGACTGTGTCCCAGACATTTGAACTGAAGCTGACCACTGGTCAGAGCATGAAAAATAAATGTAATTAAGGGTTTTCTTTTTTCTTTTTTTTTTTTTT